ACAGTCGTAGTAACACACTACTGAATATTTTAGATTTTATTTTTATTCAGCTTATTATTTCTTCATTCTATTTTTAATTAAAGCAGCTTCTAAGTTATGTTTGTTAAAACCAAAAGTGTTTTGCAGTGCTGTTTTTGTATAAATAGAAAGCAAATGACATTTCGACACCTTAGAACAGGGGTGTCAAACTCAATTCCTGGAGGGCCGAAGCCCTGCGCAGTTTAGTTCCAACCCTGCTCCAACACACTTACCTGTAGGTTTCAAACAAGCCTGAAGGACTCAATTAGTTTGATCAGGTGTGTTTAATTAGGGTTGGAACTAAACTGTGCAGAGCTGCGGCGAGTTTGACACCTGTGCCTTAGAATTATAAGGTTCAACTTCTATCTGACATTTTTGTCAAAATTTAGTTATTGAAATATTCTTATTAAAAGACAACTCATTTACATTATGTGATGTGTTTTTATAAGTTTTTTAGATTTTAGGACTTTTTATTTAAAAAAACAAAACGGTTTATCTACAAAGTTGAACTCTAGCTTGACTCTATAAGGTTTTTTTCTGTGAGCCAATCAGCATTTTTAATGCACGTACGAGGACCAATCAGGATCAGCTTTCTTTGTCAGTTCGCCGGCCTGCTCCATTGATTAGAAAGACAAAATCACACAAAATCAGAGTCGGCTAAATAATGCCACATCACACAAATTGAGATGTGTGTAAATGTGATGATTTGGAAGCATTTCTTGACACTGAGATTAAATGTGAAATTTTACACTGTTGAAAAAGAAACTTCATATTAAAAAACGTACATATTGAATGTGAAATATTTTTATTTGTGTACATATAGTCAGTGAAACACTTTTCATTGTTAATAAACTCATTTGCTCATGTCTGTTTTTTTTTTAAGTTTTAAATGTAATACTAAGCCTTGAAGGGCAAATACTTAATTTAATTAATGGGGCATAAAATTCAATAAATATAATTCAACAATTCATATAAAGCATAGTTTAATAATTAGGACCATATTAATTACATAAAATTAACATCTGCACTGTATAAAATATTCAGCTCAGCCTTGTATGTTAAATTTTAACAAGTAAAAATACTCATCCTAAAACATTAAATAAATGTTATAGAAAGCAAAAATGTTACTTTCTCAAGCATCAGCATATTGTTACACCACCAAATTATATATTTTTGATTGTGTTTCTTGAAAAGTAATGCTTCAATATAATCTGGGATAAGAATATCCCAGGAAAGAATAATCTGCCAGATAGAACCTTATAATTCCAAGCGGAAAATGACTTTTCAAAATTAGAAGGTTCTATCTGCATTTACTGTGGTTTTGTTACTCCAATTTGCAAATGTAAGAAAGTTTTGATAATTTACATTTAGAGTAATTTTAGGGTCTCTGTCATGTTAATGTATGAAAAAGAACTGTTACAAACATTATTAGTTATGTGGAATGCAAAAACTTTGCAGCTCAACATCTCAAAATCATTCAGAACGCAGAGAGAACCTTATAATTCTAAGGTGACGATTTGTCTCCTCTTTTTGGCTGATCCGAAAAATGGTCTGATCCGTGACTAAAAACTAATGTGATCCGAACCATGAAATTTGTGATCCGTTACAGCACTAGCTGTGCACATGTTTTGTATGCACATTTTTAACATTTCTGCGCATCTTGGCATTTCCTTTAAGCATGCTGCTGTGCGATATTCCAACAGGCACATAAAAACAAGTGGATGAAAAATTTTTTTCAAACATTCTTCAGAATATCTTGTTTTACGTTTAACAGATGAAAGAAATTCCTAAAAGTTTAGAACCACTTGAGAGTGAGTAAAACAATAATGAGGAAATTTTCGGTATTGGTAGAACTGTCACTTTAAGACAAAGTCTCATCGTGCTCCTAATGTTATGATGACACATACTGATTGATCATTAAAAAAGAAAATTGCTGCATAACCATGTAAACAACACATGTCTGTGAAATCAAACACAGCAGGTTTTAAAACGCAGTATTCAATCTTTAAAAAAAACTAATTTACTTGTTCATTTTGCTGTGGTTTATTCCTCTATTTTCAGCAAAAAAGTAAAGCATCTTATTTTGCTGTTTTATTAATGTATGCAAATTAAAGCATAGCAGGTGAGTTTGATTATTGTGATTAGTTGACTAAAAAGTGAGTAAACCTGTTGCCTTAAAAATACACCGGCTACTTTATTAGGTACACCTTACTATTTCTGGGTTGCACCCACTTTTACCTTCAAAACTGCCTTAATCCTTCGTGGCAGAGATTCTACAAGGTACTGGAAATATTCCTCAGAGATTTTGGTCTATATTGACATGATAGCATCACACAGTTGCTGCAGATTTGTCGGCTGCACATCCATGATGCGAATCTACCGTTCCACTACATCTCAAAGGTGCTCTATTGGAGACTGTGGTGACTATCTGGTGACTGTGGAGGCCATTTCAGTACAATGAACTTATTGTCATGTTCAAGAAACCAGTCTGAGTTGAATTACACTTTGACATGGCCTGTGCCAATTGTACCCACAGTGTTCTGTTCTTAGCTGACAGGAGTGGCGCCCGGTGCAGTCTTCTGCTGCTGTAGCCCATCCTCCTCAAGTTTGGACGTGTTGAGAGATGCTCTTCTGTTGTAACGAGTGGTAATTTGAGTTACTGTTGCCTTTCTATCAGCTGGAACCAGTCTGGCCATTCTTCTCTGACCTCTGGCATCAACAAGGCATTTGCGCCCACAGAACTGCCGCTCACTGGATATTTTCTCTTTTTCTGACCATTCTCTGTAAACCCTAGAAATGGTTGTGCATGAAAATCCCAGTAGATCAGCAGTTTCTGAAATACTCAGACCAGCTTGTCTGGCACCAACAACCATGCCACGTTCAAAGTAACTTAAATCCCCTTTCCTCCCCATTCTGATGCTCGGTTTGAACTGCAGCAGATCGTCTTGACCATGTCTACATGCCTAAATGCATTGAGTTGCTGTCATTTGATTGGCTGATTAGAAATTTGCGTTAATGACAGGTGTACCTAATTAAGTGGCCGGTGATGTTAAAAAAATTAGAAAAAACGGTGCATAACTCACTTTTTTAATTAAACAGTTTACTCACTTTTTTAAGTAAAGTCAACTTGTCGCTTTTAGGGCAATGGGTTTACTCACTTTAATAAAGCTTCAATACAATACAATGAAAAACATTCAATTATTCATTCTCTTGTCGGCTTAGTCCCTTTATTAATCCGGGGTCGCCACAGCGGAATGAACCGCCAACTTATCCAGCAAGTTTTTACGCAGCGGATGCCCTTCCAGGCGCAACACACACATTCACACACACACACACACACACACTAAGTACAATTTAGCCTATCCAATTCACCTGTACTGCATGTCTTTGGACTGTGGGGGAAACCGGAGCACCCGGAGGAAACCCACGCGAACTCAGGGAGAACATGCAAACTCCACACAGAAACGCCAACTGAGCCGAGGTTCGAACCAGCGACCTTCTTGCTGTGAGGCGACAGCACTACCTACTGCGGCACTGCCTTGCCACAATGAAAAACAGTCATGCTCTTAATGTTACAACATACACTAATAATAATTGTAATAATAATAGTAATGCAAAAACTCAACATCATATTATTCCTGTGAAATTTTTCTCAGCACTCGAGTCAGACAGAGCATGGAAATACACTCAACTTCTTGATTTGCACAATCGTTTGGGAATGTTCATAAATAATGAGCCTACTTTTTCTGATTTTTCAGCATCTTGATATTCTGGATTTTTGTTATACTCTAATTTGAAAATTTTTCCCAGCATGCATTTATTTTTTTCCCCTCAGATTTCCCAGCATGCACTTGGGGACAAAGAATTACTATAGTTGCAATGGCAGTTGTATTAAAATTTGCAGTCACGTTTACAGCATTGTATATGTAACCCCACCGATCCTACCGTCACCCAACCCGCTCCGAGCTGGTATCGAACTGGCCACCTTCCGCATGGGAATCGGATGTTCTAATAAGGAGGCTAAAGACCATGGCGCCGAGCATCTGTCGACAGAGCACCTTTAGAGGTCAGAGGAGTGAGGTTTACCTGCACAGCACTTACTAGCTGGTTACATATATAAATTGAAGACAGGTGTTTTGTTGTTGCTCTTCTTCTTTTTCTACTTATCAAAAATAATACATTAAAACATATATCTCTTTGTGGTGGCACTGTGGCTCAGTGGTTAGCACTGTTGCCTTACAGCAAGAAGATTGCTAGTTTGAGCCTCGGCTGGGCTAGCTGGCATTTCTGTGTGGAGTTTGTATGCTCTCCCGGTGTTGGCGTCCGTGCTTCGGTTTCCCCCACAGTCCAAACACATGCGATATGGGTGCATTGGAATAACTATATTGGCCATAACATATGTGAATGCAACAGTGTATGGGTGTTTCCTAATACTGGGTTGCAGCTGAAAGGGCATCCGCTGTGCAAAACATATGCTGGAATAGTTGGCGGTTCATTCCCTGATAAATTAGGGATTAAGCCGAAGGAAAATGAATGAATGTTTCTTGCACTTTGTGTACCAAATACACACACACACACACAAAAAAAAAACCTCAGGATTGTCGTCAACCCAATGGCTGGGTCAAATATGGACAACCCCAAACGTTGGGTAAAAAGGTGTCATTTTAATCAATTTAATAAAAAAAAACTATTAAATAATTATTAGAGTAACAGGTAATGTTCAACTTCATGCACTAATAAAACAAAAATTCTGAACTGTCCAAACCCAACGTTATTGGTCAAACATGGACAACTGTGTTAACGACAACAACCCAGCATTTCTAGAGTGCAGGAAGTTGAACTCAACGTGCTCCCACACAAGTTAATCTCGTTATACTATACTGAGCCTGTAGAAATAACAAGTTGTTTACACAACCCCTGCTTAAAGCATGTCAACTTCTTTAGTTTGATACCAGTATATAGTATATAGAGCTCCTTCTCACCTCCAGTCTGTCGTTTAAATCCTTGGTCATTTTGTCATATTGCTTAGTGAGGTCTTGGTTTCTTTCAAGTAGAGCTTTGCCCAGTTTAGCAGCGAGCACCAAGTCCTTCTCTTTCTGCCGGAAGAGCGACAGTAGGTCAGAGTCCTGCCCGCTCACAGGTGTCTCCGGGGCGGATTCCTGCAGCTCGTCCTCTCGGTCCCCGGTCAGCATGGCCAACTCCTCCTCCAGAGCCATGCCGAGCCCCCCGGGCGCGGTGTGTAGCAGCGTGAGTTCCCCGGCGGTGTCTGGCGAGTTCTGGCGGCCGGGATTTAGCGCTCGGTCCATGCGGTCGCTGTCCGGCTGCGGTGGTGCTGAAATCAGATCCAGGCAGGACGCGGACATCGCCGGAAAACACGACAGATGGATGGAGCGCTTTAGACCCGGTGCAGTCCCGGGTCCAGCTGACCAGTTTGGCTCGGGGTCGATCGTAACGCCATGGAAATCGATTAACCGTACGACTGCGCGTGCTTGATCTGCCGTCAATCAATCGATCATTTATCCTGAATGCGAATGTATTTGAAACACCGCGCGTTAACCTCCTTGGTGGTCGCCGTCTAGTCGCTGTGTCCGCTCCAGAGCATCGGGGTCCCGGTTATCCCCCATTATTGTCGCTCCTGGCTCACATCCCTGGCCTGTATGACACACAAATACACAGATTTCTCTCGTGCGCGAGCTTCCTCCCAGCCCCGCGCGCGCGCGCGCTCTCTCTCTCTGCGTCCGTGACGTCAGCTAATCAGCGCTCCTCGTAGGCGCTCATTGGTTGATTCTGATAGCGCCATATGCTATATTGAAGAACTGGGTGAAAGACGTGTGAATTTCGGGGAATGTCTACACTACAGTGTCTTCTGGAAGGTTAATGACCTCTAGTGGAATAGGTCAAGACTGATGTGGGCTTTTAATAATACCTGTTGGCTCAGTGTTGATTTACAGAATGATTCCTTTCTTTTTGTGTGTGTGTGTGTGTTTATTGCAAATTAGACTATGTTTGTATCATGGTTGAGAGATGCAGTCACACAATAATTTAACATTATGTTTTGTCTAATTGCCTTCTTGGAGTGAGTACATATGGACCAGTGATGCTTTAATGACCTAAATAATTATATTTAGGTATCTAATAACCAAGATTAAATGAATTGTATTAATTGTTTGATGATAATTATTAATAATACCCCTAACTATAATCATTAAACTACATCTTTAATAGTAATGACAATAATACATAATAATTTAGTTAAAATCATATGTGTTTTATGCATTGTATTAATTACACATTTTATTATGCATTATATTAATTACACATTTTTAATAAAAAGAAATCTACACATGCACACACACATGTATTATTTTTTTGTAAAACACACGCACACATGTATTGTAAATGTATGATTTTCATATAAAACATACACAAACATATATGTAAAAATACACAAAATACATGTGTGTGTGTGTGTGTGTGTGTACATGACTGTGTGGGTGAAATGTATTATATTCATGTAATAACATACACACACACACACACACACATGCTATATACACAAATATATAAATATATATACACTCACTTTATTAGGTACACCTGTACAACTGCTCGTTAACGCAAATTTCTAATCAGCTAATTACATGACAGCAACTCAATGTATTTAAGCATGTAGACATGGTCAAGACGATCTGCTGCAGTTCAAACCGAGCATCAGAATGGGAAAGAAAGGGGATTTAAGTGACTTTGAACGTGGCATGGTTGTTGGTGCCAGACGGGCTGGTCTGAGTATTTCAGAAACTGCTGATCTACTGGAATTTTCACGCACAACCGTCTCTAGGGTTTTTCATAAATAATAGGTAGGGTCATACCTAGTTTCAACCGAGGTCTGCAGTAGAGCATCTCTCCACAGACAATACGTCCAACCTTGAGGCAGATGGGCTACAGCAGCAGAAGACCACACCAGGTGCCACTCCTGTCAGCTAAGAACAGGAAACTGAGGCTACAATTCACACAGACTCAACAAAAAAGGACAACAGAAGATTGGAGAAACATTGCCTGGTCTGACGAGTCTTGATTTCTGCAGCGATATTCAGATAGTTGGGTCAGAATTTGGCATCAACAAAATGAAAGCATGGACCCATCCTGCCTTGTATCAACGGTTCAGGCTGCTGGTGGTGGTGTAATGGTTTGGGGGATAATTTCTTGGCACACTTTGGGTCCATTAGTACCAATTGAGCATTGTGTCAACGCCACAGCCCACCTGAGTATTGTTGCTCACCATCTTCATCCCTATATGACCACAGTGTACCCATCTTATGAAGGCTACTCCCAGCAGGATAACGCGCCATGTCATAAAGTGTGAATCATCTCAGACTGGTTTCTTAAACATGACAATGAGTTCACTGTACTCAAATGGCCTCCACAGTCACCAGATCTTAATCCAATAGAGCACCTTTGGGATGAGGTGGAACGGGAGATTTGCATCATGGATGTGCAGCCGACAAATCTGCAGCAACTGTGTGATGCTATCATGTCAATATGGAGCAAAATCTCTGAGCACTATTCCCAGTACCTTGTTGAATTGAAACCATGAAGGATTAAGGCAATTCTGAAGGCAAAAGGGGGTCCAACCCAGTACTAGTAAGGTGTACCCAATAAAGTGTTGTATTTTTACATGAAAATAAAACAATTCATATGATATGTGCATTATGTAGCTATGATTTTCAGATTTTATTGTATATTTTATTGACCATTAATGTCCAGTTTTACATGTTTGTTTCGACAAAATGTTTAATTCATATAAAATCATCATAAATTATGTTACAATAAAACAACAGCAACTATAATAATAATAATAATAATAATAATAATAATAATAATGATAACAATTATCATAATAACAGTTATAATAATAACAATACTAAGAATAATAATAATAACAATAATGCTAATAATAATGATGATAATAATAACAACAACAACAATAATAATAATGCTAATAATAATAATAATAATAATAATAATAATAACAATGATAATAATAATGATACTGATAATAATAATAATAATAATAATAACAATGATATGAATAATAATAATTATAATTATACTACTACTAACACTAATAATAATAATAATGATAATAATAACAATACTAAAAATAATAACAATGATACGAATAATAGTAATAATAATAATCATAAAAATAATAATAATAACAACAATACTACTACTAATAATAATAATAATTATTATTATTATTATTATACTACTGCTTCTAATAATAATGATAATAATAATAATAATAATAATTATGCTACTACTACTAATAATAATGATAATAAAAACAATGACGCGATAATAGTCAAATAATAATAATAATAATAATAATAATTGATCTATAATCAATAGATTATCTGTCAGGTTTATATACCAAAATAAAAGTCACAGCAGGGAATTTCCAAAGACATTAATCTGTTCTGTTTCATGCAATATTTGTTTATATACATATTTAATTAATGCAGAAACTATCTTTGACCACCGTTGTCGAAACATGTCATTACCATGTCATCTTGTGTATTCATGACTTCAGTCTTTGTGTTTTGAATGGGTTTGACCTCATTATTTCACAGCGGGGGGGCATCAATGAACACACAAACACCAGATTACAAACGTTATCATCACTAAAAAAACATTCCACAATAGCAGCAAACAGGATTCCCTTCCTCCAGAGGATCTGATCTGCTTTAGTGTGCGGATCTTACGGATCTCGTTTAATCTCAGCGTTACTATAATGAGAGACATGTTTCAGTGCTTAAAGGCATAGTTCGCCAAAAAAAAAAAAACATAAGAAAAATCTGTTATCATTTACTCACCCTTTCATACCAGGCTCATTCTGATTACATACCTCTTTATACATTTCTGGAGAGCGCCAAATATGTCCCAGGAGCTACTTTCTTTGCAGTTTTCATTTTCACGAATCCACCAGAGACTGCTGTGTACGCTTTTTCAGATCTCAAATTTCCCTCTTAAGTGCCATTTGTTCCTGCTGTTCTCGCTTAAATCCACCAGAGGCTGCTGTCGACTGACTGACTGACCGACCGACTGGCTGATTGCCCCACCCACCCTTCTTCCCTAAACCTAACCAATAGTGTTTTTAAAAGCACCAATTGACCAGCACACACCGCCTTCCCTAAACCCAATCAACAGTGTTATAAAAATCAATCCAGAAAAAGAAATGCTCTCACCCTATTTTTTACCACATATTCAGATTTTAGGTTATATTCTTGTTTGTTTCATTATTTGGGCTTTTGTTTTTGTCTTACCTGCTTTCTGGAACCATTCTTCGCCAAACTCACCACGGTCAGCTCTTTACTGTATCTTAAATCCTCCGACGTATGCGGTGAGCCACTGGACAAACTGGTTACAGCGGGTAAGCCGTCCACACTGAAGTAAGCGGTTGGCTGGTAAGCTTGAAAAGGAACAGCTTCATACCGCCCCGTAACATTCCTTTAAAAGACAAAAGTCGTGCTCAATCATATCACGTGCTCCTCTCGAAGTGAAGTTTATTTATAAACTAATTTAGAAAGGACCACGTGCTTATGGTAATGCTCCCGCATTATTCAATTTATGATTCACCAATCAGACGATTACTAAGTCACTATAAATACCCTGAGTTCCATATAACAGCCATCTTCGTTTTGAAGAATCCCCCCTTACACCCCTACTCCTCCTCCTTTCCTAGATATTTGGCATGGTGGCAAAGCGGTTAGCACTGTTGCCTCACAGCAAGAACGTCACTGGTTCTAGTCCTTACCATGCCAGCCGATGTTTCAGTGCGGAATTTACACATTCTACCCGTTGGTTTCCCCCGGGTTCCCCGGTTTCCTACTACCGTCCAAAAACATGCAACTTAAGTTAATCGACTAATCCAAATCAGCACCATAGACATGCTCCTAGTAAGTAGTTATCTCTTAAGAGCAATCACTATCTGTTCATTAGCTACTACAGCAGGGGAGTTCTCCAGATCTAACTAAGCTCAAACTCCCCTCTTGCCTTGCAAACAGGAGGGAGCCCCAGGCTCGAGGATCTTATGAGCTCAGGTCTCTCTCTTGTGACAGCATGCCAAACAAGCTTTATAATCAATCATCAGCTAAGTGTAAACTCTTGAAATTAGTTTATGAAACTTCACTTTTTATATTGAAGAAATGTGTTTTATTTAGTTGTGCAACAACATTAATTAGTCTTGTATTTTGCCGATATACACACTTTTTACTTTGACACACACTGTAATAAATCCTGGATTCCACTCAATCGATTTTTGTTGGGAGTGAGACAACAACAAATTACAACCCAAGCTCATTCTGAAAACGTAGTCCAGCGGATGTTTCTGGAGACCGCGAAATATGTCCCGGGAGGTACGTATTTGTGCAGTTTTTGTTTTCACGAATCTGCGAGAGGCCGCTGTGTGCGCTTTTTCGTATCTCGAATGTCTCTCGCGAGTGCTGTTCGCACCCACGCTGTTCTCGCGTAAACCCACCAGAGGCCGCTGTCTGACTGACCGAATGATTGACTGCGCGACCGGCCAATCGGCTGACCCACCCTCTGAACCCAACCAGTTTTACTGATTGATCCGCCCGCCCGCTAACTTCCCTAAACCCAAGCAACAATTTAGAAAAGCCGCCTAGAAAAAGAAAAGCCCTCGTCTGTTTTGTTTTTTTTACCACTTTT